TTTTATTTATATTTAATATTATCAATTACATACATCTGAATAAATACTGTACTACTGTACCGGCATTTCTGTACTAATAACATTAATTCTAAATACATAACCCTATCTTCTGCTATCACATGTCAACTGGATTAAAACATTATTTTTATATCTTCCATTTAACTTTATAACATTGACATTTTAACCCATTACCATTTACGATGGAGTTAAAATACATTATATTTGAGGGATTTCTTATTTTTCACAACACTCAAAGAACACAGTATTTTTACTTAAAAAAATATTTCTGTTTAATATCACAATTAACGTTTTACTTATTCAGCAAGACAAAATTCTACATGTATCACAGTTAAATAATCCAAGTAAAACTTCTTTTTCTACAACTTCTTCAACTTCCAGCATTGTTTAAATAACAGCATCTAAAAGAAACATTTTTCTGTAATTCTACTCTAAGAAAACATTTGTTTGATTGTTTCTAATTTCTATACATACCTTTCAAGTTTTGATTCCAACAGCTTTTACTAATATAATAATTATACATCAACTACAAATTTCCATATTATTTCAAAATATACTTCTAAAAAACAAATACTGGGAAATCGGTAAATTTTGCAGCCAATTATTAATTATATGTACTCTTAAGTATATAATCTAGGATATATACATCCAATATCCATTTGACAGCCACATAAATACAAGAAGTTACTCACAGATCACAGATTAAAGATTTGCAGTTAGTCGGGTAGGGAAATTATTACATCCAATCATGGGCAAGCATTTAGAGGACAGCTTACGCCCTCATTGTGTCTGGCACGAACTAAAATCGAACTGGCTTCATTATGTACGTTTAAGAATGCAGCTTTCGATTGCAACACTAAAGAATTACTCGATATTATTAATTTTTTCTAAAATTAAGTTACTAACTGGAATTACGATGACAATGACGATATGGAAGAAAATATAACTTTTCAAATAGGTTTTTCTACACAGGATGACGGGGTTTCTAAGAAAATTGGGTTGAAGCTGGAACGGTCGAGAGTGTTCTGCATATTTCAGAACTTTATTGGTTGCAATATTTTTATGAAAGATCTTATATTGTACAATTTTGCAAATTTATATACTGAGTGTTTCATAAAAATGAAACAGGTGAACAAGGATTTTTTTCTCATTTCACTACCTACTTTCCTA